TATATCATAAAACATTTAAGCGATATAATTTAGGGCTCACTGATAATCTATTTTTCTTCACCTTTCATAAAAACAAATAAGAAAGTAGCTGAACTAATAAAAAGAATCTAAAGTACTAATTATAAAACTAAAGAACCTATCTAACAAATTGATACTTGCTAACCAGAATACTTATTTATACAATTATAGTAATTACATAGAACTCAGCTAATATATAAAAAAGACTAAACTAAATACACTTTAATCTATGCCAAGGGCTAAAAATTATATACATATGACTTTGTCATTAAACTGCATATCTCAAATTTTCTTTATTATCTAACTTTAAATCTATATTTTATTTTAAAGTATAACAAATATATAGACTTCATGTGTTCTTCCAGTCTCAATTTTATCTACTTGGTGTATAAGTTCTTAAATCCTTTTGAGTCTTTAACATACCAGGACATGTTTCTAAATAAAGAATAAATTACTTTCTATATAGTTACATATTTGTTGTATTTATATTACAAAGTTGCTGAATATGGAAGTGGTAAACAATGTCAATTTTTTGACAATATAGCCAAATTCCCTACTTTTTGTTGAAAATTAGGTTTAGAAATGTCAAAGTGACAAGGTGATTATGGTTTTGTGAGTTTTCAACTAAAGAGAGTTTTTTTAAGAGTTTATTATATTTTTCCATTTCCAAATTTCCTGAGTTTTCTTTTCTACTTGCTGTTCTCAGAGACTCCTCTGATTTGGATACCAAATACAAGAGGAGTCTACCCAAAAGAAGAGAGAGCTTGACCCTTGCAAACTATTCAAAACACTCGCTCCTTATTGTATCATGTTTAAAGACTTCGTCGACAATAATTTGTATTAAGAAAACTTTAAATTATTATTAATTTATAGCCTTAAGTCTTTAACTTGCTTTTGGTACAAGTTGGTTCAAGTGATTATTGAAAAAAGTTGTGCTATGAAAGCTTTACCAGTTTTTTGTATGTAATTAAATGAATAAGATTAAATTAAACTAGTTTTTTTTTATATATAAATTATAAAAAGTTGTATTCTTTAAGAACTCTGAACTTATTCTATAATAGAATTAAAAGTTAATAATGGTTATACAATATAAACTGCTTTAAAAATAACTTAAATAAAAATTAAATACATTCAAATTATTATGAATCTACTATTTTCTATAATATACAATAATGCCAATAAACTTTTTCAGTATATCCAAAGATATGCAATTTTTTAAGGTTTTGCATTAGTAAAGAAAAGAACTCAAAAGAACTATCATAGAGAATTGAAAAATATGACTATATGATTTAACAAAGGTGGTACTTACAATAATTCCTCAAACTTTACTGAAGAAACATAGCAGAGACAAAGAAGCACTAGACTCATAGACTGCCCTTATGAATTGTATACTTCTTAGTATAATAGTTTATGGAATATAGAAGTTCATAATGCTATTTACAGTCATGATTTAGATAATGATATGTCAGGGTATCCAATTGTCTGTAGATTTTTAGAGCAATAGTTAGAAAGTATCACATCAATGATAGCAGCTAGATCCTATTTAAGAGAAATCATATCAATTCTTCGTCACAATAATATATCTATATTAATTTTAAATAAAGATATTTATAATGCTTGTGAACAACTTCGTCAACAGAATTTTGCTGGCTATACTCCTATTCAAGCACTTATAGATAAGCTTAAAAAAGGCAATTTTATATATGAGTATGAATGTGACAATACAGGCTATATTACTTATCTTTTTTTTGCTCACAATAAATCTATCAACTTTATTTATCAGTATTCTTCTGTTATTCTTATGAACTGTATCTATAAAACAAATAAATATAAAATACTTTTATTAAGTATTGTTAGAATTACTAGTTTTAATATCACCTTTTATTCTTGTTTTGTTTTTATGAAAGGTGAAGAAAAATAGATTATCAGTGAGCCCTAAATTATATCGCTTAAATGTTTTATGATATA